ATATACATATACCTGGTTTGAGGATAAATCGTTATCATTACGCGGTTTCATAAAAATTTAAAACTCAAACGCTCAAAACATTTTATCTATAATGACGCTTCAAAATTTCTCTATAGCTATTTGAAGCAAAACTTATGGATAACTTTATTATTTATTTTTTATTTATTATTGAATTTATATTTATTGTCATCCCACTTAGGCCAAATTTATTATTGAATTGTTATATTGTTTGTTATCCAACTTGAGAAAGTTCTATTATTTATTGTATCAATTATTATTTTTTGTATTGCCAACCAGGCAAATCATTTCATTATACCTTATTGTTATTTCTTTTAATAATTAAAAAGTATACAGTCCACATATTATTATTTATAAAACGACAAGGTTGTTCATCAACATTTTGGTCACCTTATGCGTTTACAATGACGAAAGATCAGATTTTAATTTCGGGATGTTAAATTTTCTGATAGCTTTTGTATAACTGTCTAAAACATGAACAAAATATATATATTATAGTCTGTCACAGAGTGACATGCGCACACTATTTTAATGACACACTCAACTGTGTAAAATGTTTGTCATCAAAAACCACTGGACGTAGGACATAGACTAAAATATATTGAGATTACAAAAATGAAATATTAAGTTTATGGTATATACCTAAACGCATTGAATTGAATATCTACACTGCTCAACAACTATTAATTTTATTACTTTTCGATAAGAAAATCTTGTTTGATAAGACCTTTATTAGGTTTATACAATTTATAATGATTTAAATAAAAAACTCCAAGGCCGAGGTCAAACAGTTTGAACTATGTTTGATAATATTAAAATGTTTGAAAAAAAAATTGAAATTTTTTGTTAAAATCTACAAAATGTAAACTTGAAATATTTTCCTTATTTGAAAAAGCAATTAATAAATTCAAAACATTTTAAAGATAATCAGYTTGATATGAAATTAATGATAACAAAATATGTAAAAATATTTAAAAATGCATACGAATTATTTTCAAGCAGATTTTCCCAATTTCGTCAAATAGATTCAACTTTAGAATTTTTAATAAATTTACATAATATTAAATTTGACAAACTTGAACTTGGTTTTTTTGAGTGGTTAAGTATTGAAAATTTAGAAATGGAGTTAATAGAATTTCAGGGAAGTAATATTTGGAAAAATAAATGTATTAATTTGAATAATAAGCTGAAAAATAATCATAGTGAAATTGGTAGGAATATTAAATCGGAAAATTTGATTCTTAATGAGTGGAAAAGTCTTCCAAATTCATTTGATTCTATGAAAAAACTAGCTCTTTCTTTATTGACAATGTTTGGATCAACTTATGCCTGTGAGCAGCTTTTTTCTTCAATGAATTTTATTAAGTCGACTGTAAGGAATCGTCTTGGAACTGATTTAAGTGAAGCGCGTGTTCAACTAAAACCAACCAGTTACAGTCCAAGAATTGATTCATTAGCCAATAAAATGCAGCAACAAAGTTCTCATTAAAAATTCATATATATAAATTGTATTTTTTAACGTTTCAATATTTTTTATTTTTTATAAATTAAATTTTTTACATATACTTACGTGTTACTTATACTTTTGGTATCTAATATATTTAAATTGTTTGCTAATATAATACTTGACTTGTGTTTTTATCATTCAAACTATAGATGTAGAAATTTTTAAGTTTAAAGAAGGGTTATCAAACTAGTTGACACACAAGGAAAACAAAATCCAACCAACATTTTTCTTTGACACGCTGGTACAAAAAGGTTCCCCATCCCTGGTCTATAATTATCTAGTATATAAAATATATTATCTAAACAAATCATAGAACAATGAAGAATGAATTAAAAATATTAATATATTAAACTTACCAATTGAGCTGGAGAGAACACGAGCCTCAAAGAAATTAAATTCTTTTTTATTTGCTTTTATTTTATTTCTGATAAGTGATTAATTATTTTTTATTAATTAATTAATTTTTTATTAACTAATTATTTTCTCTCTTTCGACACCTATTTTKTTTTGTAAATTTTGGCCATGCACAATAATATCTAACCATTTATGTGGAACCACTTCCACCGTGGTGTCGTCCAACGTAAAATGTACTACTAGCCACATAGTACGTTTGAAGTAATTACGAACTTACGAAACAAAAAATTATTTTGAATAAAATCTGCAACTTGACTGCAACCATATAATAAACAATATTGTGGAACATTAAAATTATCAATTATGAGTATGAAAATTATTATTAAATTTTTACAGTATGTGTAATACTGATACATCTAATACACATTGTGTATACTTACYAAACCGGTGAAATTTTGTTTACAAATGTGCACTGTGCATATTTGGAAAAATTAATTTAATGTACCGGTAATTTATGCATTTTTAAAATCAAAATCAACTGAAATGTATTCAACATTTTGGACTACAATTAAAGATTTATATCTAGAACTTCTTGGTCAAAGTTTTGAAGTTAAATTTCTTCTCCACTTGGATTTTGAAAAATCAGCTCATATATCAGCTAAAAATGTTTTCCTCAATTGTCGAATAATTGGCTGYCGATTTCACTTACACTAAAGTTGGTTTCGTAAAATACAAAGTAGCAAATCTTTATTAAAAAAACAGAGACAGGTGTTTGGCTTCAAAATTTTTTTGGCTTGAGTTCTTTAACATTTGATGAKGTTGAATGTGGTTTTATTGAGCTTATCTCTATAGTGCCGCTCGATGTAACAGATTTTACTGATTATATACTTGACAATTATACATCAGAAGATTTGCATTTTCCACCTTTTATTTGGGCTGAAGAGCCACAAACATACCCAAGAACAACTAATGGCCCAGAATMTTTCCATTCAAATTATAATCAGTAATTTTATAAAATGTCTTCTGGGTAACGCTAATAGGCTTAGATTTAATTAAATATGTTAATATATGCAAAGAAATAAATTTGCCCAAACGTGTTATGGATTTACGCCCAAAAGTGTTCTGTTTTGGGTAAATGTGCCCAAACGTATTTCCTCCGCATATTATACTAGATGATAAATTATTATCGATAACGAATTTGGAATTCCCTGCGCCACAACTGCCGCGGCCGGATACTAATCTATGCGTACATCTRATCTGTACAACCCGTCAATATCATAGAATGACAGTTGTAAATTTGTAATATTATTATTAATTATAGTTTTTGTTTTTTTTATTTATTTCTCGTCTGAAGTTTTATAGTTTTATATTTAAGAGRACCGAAAGCAAAACGCATACAACGACCGAGAGAATGCGCTGTTAGGTGTTTTCGTGATGCCCAAGCACGCGACGTTCAAGCCGCACTCACCACTCGTCGTCGGCGGCCGGCCAACGATTGTGCTCATTCAGGAGCGATGTTTATTATTTTCTCAACCTTCCTCTGTGACGGATCGAGTAAATATACAGTGCATATACGTTACACGTATATTATGCTGCATTATCATTAATTAATTTAATATAATATTAGATACCTATTTTACATTATACCGCTACCACATGGGTATATTTTTTAAGTTACATTTTTTGCGTATTTCTGAACATTATACATTTTTCATGCATCAATCATCTATTATTTATAAGGTTCTACCTTTCTACCTATGTTACTTATAATAATTTGAAATCTGCGATTTACTAATAACTAATAAGTAATAACAAAGATATTATGAATTACGCGTGTATTCAATAATATATTTATTAGTTTGTAATTAATAAATAAAACTCTTGTTTACTTTAATATGCATACTGATACCAATACAATAAAACAAAATTTTTCCGAAAGGAAATAATTGGTTATGGAAATATAATTAKATACAGTTTATAATGCAAGTAATAACTAATAAAGTTAGGTATTTCTTATTTTTATTTATAAAACTTTATGTAGTTACCACACTACTAGTTATATTACTTGGCTTTCTCTCGTTCTTGTATATCACTTTTTAGCATTCTAGTTGGGTAAAGTAGTTGTACTATTTCCGATAGTAAACATTGTAAATAAAATCTAAAACAAATAACATTAAAAATATTTTATGTTATAGTATTATTTTTTACTATAATAAGTCTTAATTGAAATTATTAACTATAAATTTATATTTAACTTACGCTTTAAGTTTATGAACCATTTTAGATTCCCAAAATGTAGAATCATAAAGAATTGTTTCGATGTTTGTCCAATTATTCGCGTGTACAACAAAATAACACAATTTTCAACGACTTATATGGTAATTGCCCCCTAATTTGGTAGTTATATGCATGTTCGGTTTTTAATTTAATTTTATTATTCACAATACTGCAGTATTATAACTAAAAATTCATATTATATCATATATATTGCTAATTAGTAATTATTATTACATCATATTTCATTGTAACATACAAATAACTTACAAGATTATTGATAACCGCTTCTATAGCACTAGTWGTATCTTGAGCAACATATTGGCATTTGATTTCTACTACAGCATCGTTTTCAATTAAACCATCTATAATAAAAAAAATGTTAAAATATTTTAAGGATATATTTTTTTTTTCGAAATACATGGCAATAAAAAAAAATGATTTGCCAGGACTCGCTGCTAAATATGGATCATTAGGATCAATGATCAAACCACAATTTTCAATTTTTTTTTTTTATAATTAATTCCGCTTTTTTACGTGCTGTCTTCTACTTCTCGTCCGTATTTTAGCGATTTTGACTGAGAAATTGGGGCGTAAAGTATGTAATATACTGTATTTTTACTTGATGTGTACAAATTTGTCCAAAACGCAGTGCTTGTAAGTCGTATTTTTCTTTCATAAAACCATTTTTCATTGTTACTTTGTTCTCGGGTATCGATTTCAACTTGTTAAAAATTGACACCATTCAATGCTGTAAGCCTGTAAGAAGCATTAATTTTTTGGATTCCAATTATTCAGCTTCAAAATTTCTATGAGAGGTTCAGCTAAACCGTAATCGGCATCTGGTCCATATGAACGCGGCTTTTGGTACCTCCGCTCATCCGGAAATAATTCTTTTATTTTTCGTGTTACCTATATAAAAAATTACCAATTAGTTGATTGTATTTTAGTCCATGCATTGTAATACTATTCATAGTGTGTTTTGTGGATAAGGATAACGGAAATATATTAATTGGTGGTCCTGAAAAGGACCGTTGTATAAACGGAAGGGAAAAAGTAAATATGATTATTTTGATTTTACTTCTTGGGTGCGGCGATTTTTTTGGTTGGAGTCTTTTTCAACTTTGGTTTGACGGCAGCTGGCTTTTTTGCTTTGGCAGGGGACTTCTTCGTTTTAACAGTCTTTGGTTTTTTGGGTGCAACAGCTTTTTTTGCCTTATTGGCTGCTGGTTTGCCGGTCGCGGGTTTCTTTGTGGCAGGGAGTTTCTTCTTCTTTGGTGTTCCGGCGGCTTCGACTTTTTTGACGACGGATTTCTTCTTTTTGGCTACAACGACCTTTTTCGGTTTGGCCTCAGCGACGGACAATTTGAAATGTCCCGAAGCTCCGGTGCCTTTGGTCTGAACGACGGTACCGTTGGCGACGGCGGCTTTCAAAAACTTTCTGATGAATGGCGCCAACTTTGCGGGATCGACTTTGTAGTTGGCGGCCAAATATTTTTTGATGGCAGGCAACGACGAACCTTTTTTCWCCTTGAGCTTCCGAAGGAACGGCAGGCCTATTTKTTGTCTTTTATATCTATGACGTAGTGATTAAAAAACATCATCAAACCATCTTAAAGATGGGTTTCACTGATATAAACCAGAAGTATAATGAGTGATTCACTTTGAACGAGTTAATATGTCAATTGCTGATTATAAATTTGTTACGCACTCGTGATAACGTTCTATCCTATCCTGTACACGTGTTTGAATTATCGTTTGTCGGTAACATTCATGATTTGTTCTGTAATGTTGTAGTAAATTAGTTGCATTTGTACTGTGCTTAGAAAAATAATGTTAATGCAATACATATTGAACCGGTACACTTGTTTTTATTCGATAACATATATTCCAAAATATATATTAAGGTATACAAAGGTTTTGTTACCGCACCACGTTGCTTTTCAAAATATTATACATATTTAATATAATATTACTTATATTMTTGTTTTATTTTATTGCAAGATTTYTATACAAAATATATTTAAGCACGAGGTCCTGGACAAATGCCCCGTTTTTTCTCCCTCTAACGCCGGCCCTGATTAAATAATTTATTTTACATTTTAATGCTAAAACATTCAAACTTGGTAAAATTACTAAGTACTGTACAAACTACAAATATCGTTTTGTGGTAATCAATGTTCAGCGGTRATATTGATATGATATATTTAATTGATAACGTATGCCTCGCCCTCCCGGAGACCGTATTCAAGGCCACAGTCACCCGATTTTGCCAATACACACAGAGTGTCGTACCCCTGCTYCAATTCTCCAGCCTTTGAAGGTTTTYCCCATTGTTGGGGCAAGTCTGTTTTAGAAATTAGTTGCTCATTATTTATGCAGTAAATTAATCCACATATATGTTTGCATTTTACTCCTGCGCCAGCAGGACAATCACAAGATGTATTTTTAACTCTTCTAGTTTCATCAATCTAAATAATATATAAAGAATAAATATTAAAGAAGAAGATAACATTTAAATATACATAAAAAAAATCTWAGACGTATTCAAATACTTTACAGCAGTGAATTTGTGATAAAATTAAAATAAATAGTCTAAAAMATGTGTACATTATCTTCCTTCCAAGTATAAACATATTGATTATTGTAATTYGATATATAACACTGTATTGTTGATTTAACTTACTTCAAGAGTAACTGTCTATGGATCATAAGACACAGAAGTTTGCCTTATACATAGTCCTTTTATTCTAGGTGCAATATGATTAGTAGCCGGTTTTATTTCTTCGACGTTAATTAAATGTCCACTTTTTACTAATTTTTTGCCTTTGTCATTTGGAAAAATAAAATTATATGTGACTGGTTGGAAACAACATTTAATTTTTAAGTCTGCCATAACACGACATCCCAATGAGTACAGACGTTCAGTGTCCATATGTGGTTTGTGGTKTAGTTAATTGATTAGTCTCTATTGAAAATTTATAAGCTTTAGAAAGCTTATCATCTCACCAGTTCTACAAGGTTATTATGAATTTCATAGCATGTAGTAAAAAAAATATATAAATAGGTAAATGTATGAATGAACCACATGTGGATCATGGACTGATAAAAAAGGTTTAGGGCCGGTTGCACAAAAAAAAAAATGTATTGATCCTATAACTTATTGGCTCTATAGGTTTTATCGGTTTGATAAAATATTTTATTGATAGATAAATATTAAAAATCGTTGCACAAATCATTAYTTATATTATTATACTTTAAGCAACATACCATAATGGTTCAGAGTGGTTCAATTATTTAAGGTTATGGTTCATTATTATTTTGATAATATTGTTCTGTGATAATATGAAGATGTTGATAACAGAAGATATTTGAATTTCATAATGTGATTTAACTATGTAGGTACTTATTTTCTGATTAATTTGTTAATATATAATTATATGCAAATTGGCTAATTGGAATTTTATTCGAAAATAGTAGAAAACAAATACCTCATTTGATATCTCAGTATTATGTTGATAAGGTTTCATTAATTTTATTTTATTGAGCCAATAAAACTTATTGGACCAAAATCGTGCCTATAAATTTATGGATCAATAGTGACTAATGGTCAATAACTTATTGGTGCAATAACTTTGTGCAACGTATTTTAATTGTATTTACCCTTGTAAACCCTTGTGTACCCTATGTGAAAGTCTATAATAACAATACTTAATATATCATGCAAGTAAATTAGAACTTTGATGAGAAGGTGATATGATGTTAATTTGTGAATTTCGATTGAAGTATTCATAGTGAAGTCATATTGATTTAAAGTGTAATGTATCTTTGAAATTAAGTCACTTCTCCAAGAAATCTAAATTAAGTCAAATTGCGACTTCCTACAGAAGTTCTTGTTCAACATCTCATTTTGAATATCACTCAACCTTGCGTTTGGCATCCGTGGATCACCTCTGAGAAGGCAAACAAACACTGATTTTCAACTTCTCTTGTCACAGTGAGAATGCTATGAGAAGTTAATAGGATTAGATTTTGCACATACCCTGTTCCTAAAAAAAATAAAAATGTTTTAATGTTATCAACAATGCATCATGATGATTATATTGAC